AAAACTTTTTTCCCCCTTTTGGAAAGCTTTTTAACTGATTGATGAGAATTACATTGATCAAGTGCTGTGCCAACATAAACACCTACCTATTTACTATATTTCTCTCTCTCTCTCTATTTCTCTCTCTCTATCCCTCTACCTACCTACCTACACACACTCTCTCTCTCCCTACCTACTGTATTTCTCTCTTTCTCTCTCTCTATCCCTTTATCTACCTACTTATCTAATTACTCTCTCTCTCTCCCTACCTACTCTCCCTATTTCTCTCTCTTTCTCTCCCTCTCTATCACTCTTTCTACCTACCTACTTTAAAAAAAATGCCTCTTCAAAACCTTGGTTCGTCTTATACTCTGGTGCGTCTTATACTCTGAAAAATAAGGTACATATAACCAAAGTTGCACCCTCATTTGCCAATTTATTTCACAAAGACTACATTTTCTCCCTATATTTTATTTCAGTAAATCTTTTTCAAAGACAGAGAAGAAAAGGCTCTTTTGTCAATGACACAACCTTCAATTTAAATACAAAGCTTTGGTCATAAGGTTATTATAATCCTTCCACTGCCTGTGTCCAAGGTACAGCTGTCCTCAACTATGCTTTGAACTGGTACTAGATACAAAAATATATTTGGATGGACACAGAACAGTAAAGCAAATCTTCAGTAGCTAAAAATGGAAAACAAACAGAACTCATAACACAAATTAAGCAACAACAATATTGTTCTTGGCTATACAAGGTATTCTTGAGGAGTGTTATTCAGTGTTGGGGTGAGTAGCAAGCAACTGATTAGCCCAACTAAACAGCATTGCAGCATATGTAGTTGGATTGAACTGGACAGTCCATTTGAGATAAATCTTCAGTAAGTAATATGAGTGGCTTGGCTTGCACCACTGGAAGTAGAGTAGTAGTACAAAAGTCTGGGGCCTGTTCCATATTTAGACTGTTAGGTATCAACAAATGCAATCTATTTGTTTCCTATCCATGTGTCTACATTTCTGTAATTCTGCTACCACATCACATATCTGATGGCACAGCATAAGCTAATTTGTATACTGTATTGTTTCCAAGGATATTTAAGGAATAACATGACTCCAAGAATTTCATTGACATATTTGTTTTGTCCCACACTGGGGTGGAGCATAAATTTGTTTTACAAGATTTCTAAAGTTCTTTAATAAAAGTTATTTTGTAACTTTTTAATTCTAATAAAAGTTATTTTGTAACTTTTTAATTCTAATAAAAGCCATAATGTAGAATTCAAGAACAGAAAGTTTCTGAATGTGTTCTGTTTTTGAGTCCCGGAAGAAAATAAAGCTCCAAATTCTAAATCATAAAAGCCCATTCCAATGTAGTTGTCCTTTTCACTTTATAAGCTTAATTTACAACCTTTGACTATTGGTACCAAGTTGGTACTTACTCCTTCAATTTCCTAATGGTAAATTGTACTATCAGTTTATGTTATCCTTGCCTTTCACAAGGTTATCAGTTTAAATTTTTTTACCAAGAAATCCATAGCCATCAACCTTAAAACAATGAACACATTTTTATTACATTATCATATGTCACTAAGCTCCAGAACATTTACTGAAGTCTACAAGAAATTTCCACACAAAAGTCATAATGAACTTTCCTTTTAGGCCTCTAAGCAAAACCAACCCAAATAAAGACAAATATTTCAACTGGCAGTATTCATTCGTCTGCAGGCTGAGGTCAAGCAGATCAAAGAAGCAAACAAGGATCAGAGAAATGCTTTCACGCCTCCCTCCCCCCCCCCCCCCGAAAGAGAGACCATGAAAAATAGTCTTGCTGGTCCTCACTATTATTAGTGGATGGGCAAACCATTGATTAGAAGAGAATAAAATCTGCCTTCTCCATTCTATGAATAAAAGATGAACTGAACTTAAAGCCACCCTCTAAGATAACTTGAGCTGAGTTAGTTTACCAAAGGTAGCCTGGGCTGTGTTGTGGCTTGCTAGTTGCCAGCGGAGCTGCCAGCAGATTCGGACAGTGAGAAGGTTGGGAAGGAACATCTGTCAGTCCTGCAGTCTGGGGAAGGCTCTGATGAGGGCTCTGTGTCGGAGGCAGAGAGGGGGCCACAGCCATATGCCAGTTATCAGCTGCCTTCAAAGTCAGACATCAGTGAGGCAGACGAACGGCTGGAGCCTGTTCCCAGTGTGCACATGCACAGAGTTGCCAGACAAAGGGAATAGCTAAAGAACAGGGGTTGACTTGGGAGTAAGGCCACAATTGGACGATGACTGGCACCTCCCAGAGGAAATAAAAGAGGAGGAAAAGGGGAGTGAAGCTTGCAGGAGACAATTAGTTTGCTTAATTGGTTTGTGACTCTCCGAGACTCCTTGCCAAGTTTTGCAGATATCGGCTTGTCAGCTCTCCAAGCCAGAAGAGGTCTGTGACTGTAAATCCTCCCTTAAAAGACTTTGCTGGATGTGAATGAGCAGAATTCACAGTAAATTAATAAAAGGGATTTTTTTTTTGTTATGACCAGGACTTTGCTTCATGCTCTTGGGAAGTCTAGGTCAGAACAGACTGTCTGAGACTGGAATACACAGATGATATAAAAGTGCTAGTACCTATTAAGAAGTATTATAATATCCTTCCCTTTGTACATAAGATCACATATTGCTGTGATTATCTGGTCAAATCTATATCAGAATATTTTCTGACTGAAGTCCATAATTTTAGAAAATGTTTCCTCTCTTTTTTCCTTATGGAAAAGTAGGGAAACTAGCATGTTAGGAATTCTACTTTCAATATTATAGGAAGATTTTCTGACAGAAAAATTTACAGTCATATTTATGATGCAAGTTTAGTGATAATTGGACACTAATATTAACAATAATCTCATTGTATCTACTACATACATATTATTTTAGCATAAAACTGAATAAAGAGAGCTACTTCTATATGTTTCTGGTTTTAAATGGAAAAACAATGAAATAATACTACCAATAAATTCAAAATTTGAGCTGGATTAAAAGACATACTGACACGGTGACTGAGGCCAAAAGTCTGCAGAAACAGTTGAAGGAAAACCATATGCAACATACAAGGGGAAACAATAGCATTTGAACTACTTTTGTTTCATATGTGAGGCAGTAAATCATTTTAAGCTTCACTGAGGGAGATCATCACAGAAATCTCACATCAGCAACAGAGAAACCCTACAGGAGCCACCTGAAAACAGATAAGATCAAATAGCTTTCAGCTCTTTAGGCCACCCCCCAGATCTTAGAACTCCAATTGATGGTTTAGATGTAGCTTGCTGTTAAGTAGTAGGAAATAAGAATGCTATATTTTAGAATTCTTCCACTTTAGCTTCCTAGACATACACACATAAACAGTTCATGGTTGTCCCTTAGGTGCTTTTATAAAAAGCAAATGGACTTTCTTGGTTTTTTTCCTTGGAAATGTTTTGCTTGTCATCCAAAAACCTTTTTCAGTTTCTGGACCTTTGGTCTAACTTAAAAGGTAGTAAAATAATTTTCTACTAGATATAGAATTCTATTCATTTACGTTAAATGAAATCATCCAATAGAAAAAATCATTTGTGAAATGGAGTCAGTCCCACATTTTGAGTCCTACTCTAGAAGTTATTACAAAATGTTGCCTCATTTACTAATTCTAAGAATTATTACTATACAGAAGAAAATAGGAAAAATATTAGTTGCAGCTAGTAAATAATTCAATTAAAATTATACAATACATTGGCTTCAACTTGAAAAGCTAAGACTGCAACTGCTAAAATATTTGAGAAAAAAACAAAGTGCAACTGAAGTATACATTATTAAAGAGAAATGCCATGTATTCAATTAAACTGTCATCTCTTTTATATTTAATGCCCAAAAAATGAATAGTGAAAATTTCTCTACATCAATTATAACAGCAATGAATTCAAATGACAAAACAAACTTCCCTTAATGTTACCTATTTTCCTTACTTTCTTGCATCCCAATCCAGCCATCCTAATAAGATGAAAAAAAAATAAGAACACTTCCTTCTGCTTAAAACTTTAAATTTATCAAATGGCAGTTACAAATCATCACCACCAATAAAAATTAGATACATTACTGAACTTGCATTGTGTCAAAATAGTAGTCTATAGTGACAAAATTATCCCTGTTGAAACCTCCGTTATTATTGTCCCTTGAATGCTTTACAAAAAAACCATCCAGTTAATGAATAATATAGGCATAAATATTACAGCATCATTGTTTTGGTAAGAAGCCACACATTGTAATATACTGGAACTTAAAAATTATGAACTGGTAATGATTAGCAAAAGAATACGATACAGTTGTTTCTGATTGTGATCCTTCATGCACATTTTGGGCAGAATATATGAGCAGATTTTACAATCGATTTATAAGGGGCATTTTTATTACATTTCTTTAAAAAGGGTAAATCTAACAATTAATTTTAATAAGCATTATTGAATCATGTATGACTTCATGATTTCATTCAGAAAAGTATTTTAATATGGCAAATTGCATATTAATACATTTCTTCCTAAACATAATACAGGTATAGTGGTACGCCAGTACTTGACTGCTTTAAAACTCATTGAATTTAGTACTCGACACATTTTGCCCCGATACTCATTTGTTTGATACTTGACAAGCAAACTAGAACTTGTCAGTTGGCTCATAACTAATATATTATTCCTTAGTTTGGTACTTGTCTTTTTTGGTACTTGTTGTGCTTCCTGGAACCAATTAATGACAAGTCCCACGGTACCATTGTAGTTATAATACATAATTTCATAATACGTGATTAAATGTGTGGAGTCCACATATTAAACCTCTATGCACCCTTATTAAACTTGAATGCCTTTTGATAAGTTACTATAGTTAGTATTTTAATCGAAGAACTTTGATATCTGGCAATTGCACTTACACTGATTCCCAACTACGGTATACAATTCGTAGTACCTGATACACAGAAATATCTTCAAGGGAATATATACATCAGAAAAGCCTTACCAATTTTTGATCAACTGTGATAACTTGTGTATCTTGGTCCTGTGCCAGCTGCCATGTGGAAGTCTTCAGAGGCCTGCAATGCAAGATTTAAAGTGAAAAATTGATTTGTCCAATGAAAAAATAGAGACAGACAAATATAATAATGATTTTCATAGCAACGATGCACGGTTTAACTGAAGTCTTAATTGCAGCTTTGAATGAGCAAGTGATGACAGCCTTGAATTGGATTGTCTTTGTGACCATGAAGCCTGTAATGTACTCTGGAAGCAAGATATGCCAAGAACAGTGTTTCTCAATCTTTTACCACCTGTGATCCCCTTCCATCCTTGTTTTTCTCCGGTGTCCAGGACCCATCACTAGATATGGACATAAGATGGTAACTGGTGTGTTTTCTGATGTCTGCAAGGCAGCATTTGCAGTATTATATACTTTGTTTCTCTGTGGCACCCTTGATACATGCCATGACCTCCTGTTACATGTTTTTCACCTGTGCTCCCCTTTCAAATACCCTTGGGCTCTAAGGAGGCCATATGACTCGCAATTGAGGATTGCTGACCTAGAGCAGTACTGAAACAAGATGAAGAACGAATCCTACTGGGCACAGATAAATGTCTACATTAGGAATTATTTTTGGTAATAAAGGTAGTGAAATGGGGGTATTTCTCCGTTCTCATGAACCTGAAGGTAATGGTCTGTAGCCTTATTTCAGATGATCAGATCCCTTTTGGGTACAAGGAAGGCTACGGAGTCCTTACTGGGTCACTTTGTAGACTAATTGGTTAGATTCACTCTGAGTTGAATGCCAGCTGGTTTTATAAAAGTGACTGATATATGATTTTGTTCCATTATCTGGGACAAGATTCTGCTTGTTATTCCTGAAGAAATCGAGTCCTTGATATTATGATCTCTACCACCTGAGTTCTGGATTTATGTCTCTCCTGGTCAAGGCCTCCTGAATAGTGTTATGCAATTGGTTCCAAAAGGCAGTTAATACCTCTTTGTGACAGGAGTTGGTGCCACTTGTCGTCCACCCCTCCTTAACTGTGTTTAATAACTGTCACTCAATCTCTTAAGAATTTCCCTTTTTAAACAAAACTTGTTAGAGGTGCTAGATGCTCAGTTCAACAGGCTCTGGAGAAATCAGTTATCTAGAGTCTTCAGACAGGTTTTAGGCTGGGTCATAGAATCATAAAAGCATTGGCCACATTTGTGGATGACTGTTTATGGAGATTCTCAACCAACCAGGTCATGATTGTCCCAAAGGTGCTTTTCAAAAGACAACTGAATTTTCTTTAGTTTTTCCTTGAAAATGTTTCATTTCTCATCCAAGACACACACACACACCAGTTGAACTTTATAATCCAAAAACTAGGAAGGGTACCTTCTGAGATGTCTGCCATGCCCACATACCTTCTGTAGGCTCTACCACCTGTCCCCCCAATGTCATTGCCCTGTACCATTACAGCTCTCTCTCTATCCTAATTTAACATCTACCAGTAGACAATGTCATTTACTGGCATAGGAAGAGATATCATCAAAATTATTAACAGACACTCAGTTGTAGATTTTTAAAACAAGGACTCTGTTGAGATGCTTATCCAGTGTCTATAGACTTTCAGGACCTAAAAACCGACAATCAGACCATGACTCAATCCTAGCATGTGGGAGTAGTCTTCGGGTACCCTAAATCTGGGGATTTTTCATTTCAACACTTGATGGAGCAGCACTCTGCACACACAGCCAGATTTGGAAGTCCGCCTTTTACTTGAAGAACAGGTGGCAACCAAAGTTGTGGGAGGAGAGGTTGCACAAGGAAGCAATTCATTTTGTGTGC